CGTGGGCCGCACGGGCGCCGGCAAGTCCTCCGTCATCGCCGCCCTCTTCCGGATGACCGAACCCGAGGGCTGTGTCCTCATCGACGGCGTCGACACCAAATCCATTGGTTTGCATGACTTGCGACGCGTCATATCAATCATACCTCAGGATCCGGTCATCTTCACGGGCTCTGTGCGCAAGAATTTGGATCCGTTTGACGAGCACTCGGACGACAAACTGTGGGCCGCTTTAGAGGAGGTGCAGCTCAAGGAGCTGATAGTTCAACTGCCTGGACATCTGGACGGTATGGTGACTGAAGGGGGCAGTAATTTGAGCGTAGGTCAGCGCCAGTTGGTATGTCTGGCCAGAGCTATACTCCGCGACAATAAGATACTGGTGTTGGATGAGGCGACCGCTAACGTGGACCACAAAACCGATTATTTGATACAAAACACAATCCGTAATAAATTCAACGATTGCACAGTTATTACGATCGCCCACAGACTCAACACTATTATAGATTCCGATAAAGTCATTGTACGTGTGATTAGTTTGTTTGAGAAACAAGTTTTTGTTTGCATTCAATTGATTAAAGTGTTTATATGATAGGTTTTAGACGCGGGGGAGATAGTGGAGTGCGGAATGCCTTATGAATTGCTCGGCAATAGTGAGGGTCTGTTCAGTAAACTGGTCCGACAGACCGGGAAGAATATGTCACTGAAGTTGAGACAAATGGCGAAAGAGAGCTATTGTGACAAATTTGGTGTCAATCTGAAGGAGAAGGGGTCGGAAGACAACGATTATGACTCCCAATGAACTGACGGCCATATTCTCTAACCCAGAGATTAAATGATTGTTTTTGTTATACTTTTGTCTCAATTTGTGTCCAAAAAATCAATCTGAAGGAGAAGGGGTCGGAAGACAACGATTATGACTCCCAATGAACTGACGGCCATATTCTCTAACCCAGAGATTAAATGATTGTTTTTGTTATACTTTTGTCTCAATTTGTGTCCAAAAAAATATCATAAATAAGATTTCACATTAACTGTAATATTTCTTTTGTATGATTTATTAGAAAATTGTAACGAAATTAATTTGAAATAAATATAATTCATTAGACATTGTGTCATAATTTGGACAAAAATAATCTTTAGATTAGAATATTTTAAAAATATTATATACACGGTGTCAAACATATTTCTGAAAAGTGTGTTTTATTGATAATCAATATATGATTTATGGATAAATGTTACAAATTAATGATTATAATATAAGTTGAGTCCAAAGTGGTATCCATTTCAATGAACTCTCTTGACAACCCTCAACAACACCTCTTTCGGTACGATTACTCCTAAATTATAATACCTTTCCGGTGGTTGCTGTGGACGGGTGTCAAATCAATTAGTCATTCATTATTGGCAAATAATTTAATTAATAAGACTTACAGCAGTTTTACCGCAGATTTCAAACTTAAAGTTATAGACAGAGTATAGTAGAGCCAACTTTGCCTCCATTAGGGCCAGTCGTTTAGCCACACAATTGCGAGGGCCGGCACCGAAGGGTAGGTGCGCGTAGGGATGGTGTGCTATATTTGATGGCAAAAATCTTTGCGGTTTGAAGGCATAGGGATCGTCGAAATACTGGCGGTCCATATGTAGCACATAAATGGGTACTTGAAATATGTCTCCTTTGAATAGTTTGATAGTCTCTTCATCCCCGGCCAGTACTGTATCTGCCGACGCCTCCCTCGTCAGTACCAGTGCCGGTGGGTATAGGCGTAAGGTCTCCATCACTACACCGTTCAGGTACTCGAACCTCTCGATAGCGTCGTAATCGATGTTCGACTATAAGGTTATTGAGAATTAATTAATTGTAAGATTTCCCGAGACTTTGATTTAGTTTCGACTAACTTTTGACTCGAAAATCCTTTTTGATTCTTCAAACAGCCTTTCCTGTGATTCCGGGTGTTTTGCCAATAGGTATGCCGCGTATGATATGGTTGTGGCTGTGGTCTCATACCCGGCCATAAAAAACACAACGCATTGGGCTATCATTTCCGCGTCGGACATACTTTTATTGTGTGTCTGTATAGGGCGGGCATCGGTATCTAATTCAGACTTTTGGCCATTTGTTTCAGATATCAAATCATTATTATCTTCGGTCTCATTATTCTTGTCGTTTGCATCCAATAATAGCTGCAAAAAGTCGTATCTCTTATTCCCGGATCCCTTACTAGCCCTGCGCTCAGCTATGATTTTAGTACAGATGTCTGTGAAATAATCCGTCACATTCTGGGCCAATAAAGTCAGACCAAATAGTTTGGCAACTTTTGGTAACAGCATTACAACCAAAATCTTCGGCAACTCCCATAACCGGAAGTCTCTGGACAGTAGTTTCTTGGCGTTCACTATAATGGGATGACTTTCATCGATAAGTGCGTCCACTTTTGTGCCGAAAGCCACTTGTATTATGACTTCCATAGTGTAGGCACTGAACACCCGTTTCATATCGACTACGCGTTCAGTGTTTGACTTATCGCTTGAAAGTCGGTCTAAATTGTTGGTCAATGTATGCAAACAGTCGTCAATCAATGACCGCATTTTGCGTAACTTTCCGGTCGAGAAAGTGGGCGATACTATCGCTCGCAACCGTTTCCACTGGTCGTCCACAGCCAACTGAATCACATTACCCATTATGGGATCGCTGTCTAGCTTTACCTTCTGAACAAGTATCATTGCATATAAGTTTTCAAAAATTAGCTAGTAAGTTTTATTTGTGCTCAAAACATACCGTCCTATTTGTAAAACTAGTGAATTCTTTGCTGAGCACTAAGCTTATGATATCGGGTTTAGCACAGACTACGCTAGTCTTTCCAAGCGATTTAATGCCATATATTTTGCCGTATTTGTGGACATTTTCCAGCATTAATACCTCGGGCTGTTCTTTCCTCCATAATAAACTAAACACCTGTGACCAAGGCACTTTTGCCGCATTTATGTTCCGATCCTCCCAGTGTTTTCTGATTTTACTATCATCTCTACGATAATACCTTTCAGTGTAAATGTTTCAAGTTCAATTAATTGATTATTATTTAGCGATATTATTTAAATAAATATTTGTATAATTACTTGATTATAAAGAATATAACTCCGAATACGAGTGAAGTAATCAAATAATGTGTCGCCAGGTATTGAGCAAGGTGTTGGGCACTATCCCACAGGACATCCATTGCTTACAAGAATATTGATTTTCTATCAAATTTAACTACAAACAAATTAAAATTATGTTTTAATAGACAATATTAGAGACAGTGTCAAATGAGATACATACCCAACACGAATGGAGTGCACTATTTGTCAATTATATTTTTAATGCAATTTTTTGCAAATAGTTATTAATAATTTGACAGTCACTTTATAAGTCTGAAAATGAAATGTTTGTGGATTTATGTTGCTTAAATATAAATATGATATCCATAGGAGTGTATTACGACTGCACTACTTATCAGTTTGTTATCACATTCAGTACTCTAGGTTCTTGATAAACCAAGTGTTGATATATAGACACTGTTATTAAAACAAAATATTTACTTATTTTATATATAGTATATAATTAATTTAATATAACAGAGATTAGGTTATGATAATTTTAAATTAAGTGAAATTGCAATTTATTGCTGTATGTCCTTCACTTGAATGCCTAACCATTGGTTTGCAATCGTTTACGTAATGCAAGAATTTCTACTGTTGTATAATACCTGTACCAGCATTACATTGATTTATTATACTTTGATTACTTTAATACCCAGATATGACCCAGTTATTAAATAGCAAATAATTATTAAGAGTGTGTGCCATAAAAAGGTGCTGAATGATCATATTGAATAAAATGCAGTCATTTCTAAATCATATACAAAATGCAAGTTTAATCGAAATCAATTTTATTGATTCACATAATTGTAATGCAATTCATTACGTGGTTTATGGCTTACAGAAATCCATTTGCAATACCTGTGCGATGGTTGGCCTAAGATGTGAGTTCTGTAGGGTTTCCGCAAATATAACACTCGCCTCAACACTGATGGCCAGGAAAATGGTCTGCTCTTCAGGGGTGAGATTATTGACAGTTTCGTAGCCTTAATCTTAGGGTTATATGAGGCGAGGAAACCAAAGTACCGGGGCTGGTGTCGGGCCAACATAGTGGTGGCCAACGACAGGCCCAGACTGAACACATCCATGGCTTTGGTCGGGTAGTTCACAGCCTTGTGTTTCAACTCCATTGCCGACCAGTTGTTGAAATTACCCAAATGGCCGTCCGGTAGGCTGTCCTTATCACCCGCATTGAAACACATGGACTCCTCGAAGTCTATCAGCTTATAGACGCGGCTCTCAGTCCTGGGGTTCCGGCGCCGACACATAATGTTCTCGGGTTTGATCGCCAGGTGACTGATCCATACATTCTTGTTGTGGAGACCGTTGTGGAGATAATCGACAACAACAGCGATCTGTTGGAACCACTCGCGAGACATATCGTCGGGTATGCGGTGGCCGGGCATCGACCTCTGCAGCTCCTGTAGGGACTCATCCAACTTCTCCATAACCATGCAGTGGAACAGGAAGTCTACGCGAGTGTCGGGGTCCGGGAGACCAAACACTTTGACCACTCGTATGATGTTCTCGTGGTTGAGGAACATTAGGGTTCGGCACTCCTTATAGAGCGCACACACCGTCTCATAGACTGTGCGCCTGGTCTCCAACTCCTGTCCCAACTCGTAGTACACAAATGAGGCCACTTTCATGGCATACCGTTCCGGTTCAGCGCCGGTGCTCTCGACGTTCCAGCTCTGGTTGTCGAAGAGATCGTCCTCCACTTTGATGATACACGAGTACAGTTTGAATCTATTGTCTCTGAGCACCTGTATGTGGTAGTTGAGGGAACCTTCCTCTCCGAACGCATACCGGGGATCGCAGTAGTATTGACTCATTAGGTCGGGGGTGTATTTGTAGACATCCCGGTCAGGGAGGGGTACGTTTGGCGGCATATCAGTGGGTATTTGAGTCGGGGTGTAGTCAGTGATTGGGGACTGGAATTGCGGAGTCTTAGGAGTCTTACGCCTAAGACGTGGGATATATCGCCACGGCTTATACCACTTTGGTTTACGGCCACCTGGGTCATGTCGCTTCATGACCTGCGGGTATGCGGGACTGGTATGACTGTTTATGACTGAGTTTGCAATGTTTTGAATTGATTTAGTTTTTCTTGAATTATATTCAAATATTTTTGTTTTACGAAAATTTTAAATAAGTTTGTCTTAAAAATTTAAAACTGATTTTTATTTCATTAATTGTCTACACTCATTAATTTTAAATTAGTAATTTGTTAGATAAGCCCAATGGTAATGTAATTTATAAATAATAATTGTACAATTTGTAATCATAAAATAGAGAAAGCTAATAACGATTTATTAATAAGTAAATAGATAATTGGAAATTACATTAAAATTTTTTTATGATAACAAAATACTCGAAATATATTTGATTTGAAATCACAATTTAGTTTAAACGAGTGGAGCGAACAGTAGGACTATCCCGAAATACCATGGTCGTTTTGGTGTTAGTGCTAGACACTCGTCCTAAGGTTTCATACAAAAAATCAATTATAAAATTGAATTCATTTAAAAGATATACTAAACCTTTATTTTTGAGGTACAAGTAGATAATGACTAAAACCAATACAATGAGAAACACCACAAAAATGATAATAATTATCACAATGAGTGGACTCAAAAAAACTGAATTATTGTCACCACTTGTATTTGCTTTGACTTTGTCTGTGACTTTAGTCATTGTAGTGGTCGTGGGTGAGGGTGACATCGTAGTGGTCTCGGGGTTTGTGGGTATTAATGATGAACAACGAAAATATTGTTTCAAATCCATATTCTGTGCAAACATTTTACATACAATTTACACAACATTTAATGAAATAATTTGTTTCCTACTTACTGTACTCACAAACTCTCGCTTATCCTTGCTAACTTTTAAGACATATACGTTTGTCTCGTAGTCGCCAACCCGTGGTTTGTCTCCAATGGCGTATACCTCTCCCCTGTCGTGAAACATACCGTAGAAGCGGACATCTGATCCCAATTCCTGTGAACTCATATTTAGATACCAATTAATGTCAGATATTTGGGACCACAAGAGTGTCGCCGACTCAACGGTCCCTCTGTTGATGATGTAAAGCACTTCATATTTGTCGGGCCAGTAGACACTGACACTTGTCTTTGAAATGTCCCACTCTTTAGGCCAGATATCATCAATGGTTTTCTCAGTCAGATTCCATGGATACCTGTCCGGTAGAACTCCTTGGGAACCGGGCTCTCGAAACACTTTTGTAAACCTTCTGCCCGAAGACTCAGTGAAATATCTGACAAAAAACAGATCCTTTGCTTTCGACATGAGATGACAGGACTCTTCAGATATATTACATTCGGGAACCACTGATATATAAAAAGTGGTCCAAATTGTAGCTATGAATGTAATACAACTCATATTACTTGTTATGTCTTATTTGATCCCATAATACAACTGAATCTCAATTACCAGTGAACTCTTTCTCTGGCTTATCGCTGAACCCATGAGTGGTCTCATTGTAAGTCCAGATCCAACGGTCGGACGACTCTTCTGATTGTGATTTGACTTTCATTTTGTTTCCGAAGTGCAAAATCGAGTCATAAGAAGACATTTCACAGAATTTGGGATATTTGTCACCAAATGTTTGACATATAATTACAAGACATATCACTAAAGAGATTAATATTTTGTGAATGAATGACATGGTTATAGCGGTTAGGGGTATATAAAAGGTTTGACTTATTTATTCGTTGGTTTTCTAAAAGTAATACTAATTTAGTTTCAAAACCGTTATAATTATTTCTGTTGTTTTAATTACAAACATTCAAATGAAGTTAACGTATTTTTAAGTAAAATTTTATTTGTTATTTTAAATGACTTAAATTTATTTCTTTAAAATTAAAAATTCTTTAAAATTGTTAAAAATTTTTTAATTAATTCACTTAATTTATACGGAATGGTTGATTAGTTTGTAGTGTACTAAACAAAAGATTATTAGGAATAAGTATAAGTGAATAAGTTTGTATGTCATTTAAAACAATACTGGCTAATTGATTTTGAAAAATTATAATTCAAGCAAATTAATGTATAATTTTTGCATTTTAATTGCATGGTAAATAAACAACACAATCCAAATACAGTAAATAAATAATTTACACATTTTTAATGAATTAAAACTTGGATATTTTTATGAATAATATATAAAATGAGAAAAGTTTTGCACGGTAATTAAATTAATTGCTTAATGTTTGTGTTTGCTTAATAATTATCTCTGTCTGGACCTCACAAATAAGGCAATGAATGCCATGACCCGGAGCACACTTGATAGTAGTATTAATAGAAATATATTTCTAATCAAATGCTTTTCGTCGAAATTAAACACTTCTGTAATCACTTGTTTACCACTAGCTATGCAATGGCCGGACACCAGTTGCCTTGTGGTGACATTAGCACCGGTGGGACAGTCCTCCAGTTTTAAGTCCTTCCACTGATTAATAATCAACGACTCGAAGCCGTAGTAAAACCACGAAATATATTTCATCCAGGCAAACACCGCCGGTATTGTACTGATTAGAAAGTATTCATTGAATGTGAAATCAACTGAAATATCAGTTTAATGGTAACAAACCTCTCATTCATGAAGAATCCGCCAAATAATACGATTGGCATAAGTAGTGGCGGACCAATGGACAGGGCCATAGTTGCCTCTGAGGTCACACATGACATGAAATAACCTGTCATTTCATTTGGAAATTAATTTTAACTATTTTTCTATTGAATATAATGAGTACCGAAAGAGACTGAACACTGTGTTATGAGAATAGCGATGAGTATAGCCATCAGGAATGCAGTGAATTTCGGGTTAAAGCCCACCATATAGTAGTAAATTAACACAAACACAGTGGGAATCAATGCAAATATTGGGAGCTATAAAACAGGTAAGAATACAATAAAACATAATCCATATTGAGTTAAATTGATTCATTAAACATATACATCGGCTATTGATTTAGATATGAAATACACGTCCACTCTATACATAGCGTTGTGGTGCTCCCTATGAAATATAGGCTGTTCCGCACAGAAAGTCTGCAAAATACCAATTATTATAATACAAATTCATTAGGAATTAAGACAAAGTGATATGAATTGATGTATACATTGATGACAGCCATAGTGTTCTGGAAAGACATGCTTGTGATCAACAGAAACAGAGCGCCGTTTATATTCATTATGGACTTCTGGTTCAACTCCTGCTGCCAATAGACTATCCCTAACATCATCGCAATTATCTATACATACATTATGGTGTGATAAGAAGGCACAGGTATTCTTGTATTCAATGACTTACCACTGTCTGTATGAGTCGCACGCGAGTCACCGACGGTTCCCTAATCATGACAAGCATTGAGCGCCAGAAGACTGTCTGTAATTGTCGACAGCAGGAGGTCTTGTATATGTAGTGATCGAGTACCACATCTGTTAACAGTTTGCGTCCCTCAAAAGTGTCGAGACCGGTGTCATTGGTGGCCAACTCCTCTTTGGATATCATATGTCTGGCGAATTGAGAGGTCGTATAATTGTCGCAAATATTCTGCTCATTGCATACAAAAGCAATTCATTATTCGTTATAATTTCAGAAATTCATTCAAACGTTACATTCATTTTGATTTTACAGTCAATCTCTTTGCCGGGAATTACAGCTAAATATTGATATTTAAATTATGATAATAATTCTTATGGTAATTAGATTATCAGATAATATCACCTAATTGTTCGATAAAGAAGTCAGCCGGGTTGAAATTCTTAGGGCATTGCTGTTGGAAAATAGTTTATTAGTTTGTAATTCATTTATAAGAATTTGTTTTTGTATTACATATCCAAGTGATGAGAAGTAATTCATGGCTTCATCTGACATATAAATTATGATTTAATACAGAATATTACAGTAGTTGTCAATAGTTATCAAATCTAATTACCAGTCTTTCCCATGTAGGCTACCCTTCCGTCGGCCAATAATAATAACTGCTCAAAGAGTTTAAATACTTGAGACGAGGGCTGATGTATAGTACAGATAACGGTGCGACTCTTCGATGCCATAGACTTCAGCACTTGAACTATGTTTTCGGCCATAAATGAGTCCAAACCACTGGTCGGCTCATCACTGGTTAGACAATGGGTTCAATAGTTATCTTATAGTTTATGGCAAGATTTCTCTCAAACTCACCAAAACATTATCGACGGGTTTGTCAATATCTGTAAGAAAATAGAGGTTTTAAACATTAATTACAGTCAATGGAGTTCAGAGGAAAGTACTGTCAAACAAACCTCCGATGCAAAGGCCAGTCGTTTGGATTCACCCCCAGATATGCCCTTAAATGTAGTACTGCTTCCGATCCGAGTGTCCGCACATTTAGTTAAACTGAACTAAAGTTTCAATAAAATAATTTCTTTAAATAAATAGAGGGAAAGGTATCATCAGATAATAGTAGACCTCAAGTATGACTTGATTCACTCGATCCTGTCTCTCCTTTTTAGTCAAATTTGGATTCATTCGCAATAATGACTGTTATTTTCCGACATAAGATTAGTATTGAATTGATTTTAACATAGACTTCCCATAATTACATGAAACTTAAGGTGTTCCCTAACTGTAAGCAATGGTACGAACAGATCCTGTTGTTGAACATAGGCTGACACCACAGTGATGGCATTGGCGTCAACTACCTGTCCATTGAGACGAACGGTGCCTTTGACCGTCAATTTAGACAAATTCCTTGCGTTCAACACATTCAGTAGAGTTGTCTTCCCAGCCCCACTAAACCCATACATTCACACATCATTTCAATTAAACAAATAGTTAGCCTAAAAATACAGAAGTAATCCCAAAACCACTCATACCTCGAGCCCATTATTGCCAACAGTTGGCCCGCCTTTGCTTCTCCCGAAACTTATTTAAACAAAAATTTGAATTTTTATTATCAATACAATTACAGACGTATAATAAGATACCATTCTTCAAGATATCTATGGGCTCCTCCTGAGTCTTACGGCAATCGTAAAACCTTTTGGACACTCGACTTAATACTCGTATAGCGTGCCATGAGATTGAAATTGATTTGGACGCCGGCGACTGATTCACCCGATTATCATTAGGGGGAAGGCTTGCGGGTGTGGGTGTATTAGGAGTGAGCGTAGGAGAGGGGGTAGGAGGGGGTGTAGAAGTACGAGTGGTAGGCGAAGTGCCCACAGGTTTTGGCTTTACATTAAGTTTTGACATTAGTTTTAAGAAATTGTAATTCACAATTCATAGACAATAAGATTTGGTGATAAAACTGTTTACTTTGGCGTTCAACTCGAGTTAAGTTGAATTCAATTATGATTTGATAGAAAACCCGTTATTTTTAATTAATTGTTTCACTCGTGATTTCATATGTAATTTATATGTAATTTATAGTAAGTATCGGTATTTTCTATCTTATATTTCTTTCAAATCTCGTGATTTCTATCAAATAAATTATTGTAACAAAATTTTGTTTTATGATAAATATTTATTATTTTGCTATAATTTGGTTATAAACGGATTGAATTTTATTGACAGTGAAATTATTGATTTGTTTAACAAACTATTAATTTATAATTTATGGAAAATAAATGTTTAAATGTATTTGCTCTATTAGTGACAGGTAGTAAATTATATAAATAATAAACCCATTAATAAATCCAAAAATCTTTAACTATTCAGCCGTTACTGTATTGAAAGCTTCGGACAAATGTGGTCTAATCGGTCGGGCGGCCATCGAAACAGGCGTTCCTGAGTTGAGAATAGTGGGCGGACAGGCAGCCGGTCAGACAGACGATACCAATGACTTGCCATTTATGGTATCCCTTCAGTTCAAACGCCAACACTTTTGCGGCGGATCTATACTTAACGAACGGTGGGTCCTAACGGCCGGCCATTGTGTCGATCCACTGGTAGTCGCAGGTTATGGTCCATCAGACGTACAGCTGGTGATGGGAACCGTTCGCATCAATTCACGTACGGCTAAGACATATAATGGAAGCCTATTTGTACGATCTGCATGCTATGTGAAAGACCCTGGTCACATGTATGGCGACATCGCGTTGATTAAGACCGACAGAGACATCGAGATTGACAACAAAATGATAGCCACTATATGTCTGCCACCACAGGGTGTCCGACCCGTTGTCGATGACGCGATTATGGCGGGTTGGGGTGTTTGGACACCGGATGGCACCGAATCGGCCAATACTCTGCAAAAAGTGAACACAAAAATATTATCCGAAGACTTGTGCCAAATGTATGATTACTTCCGCAACATTGGATTCAATGGGCAGAAGCCGGGCAAACGGCTCTGTGTTATGAATGACATCTCAACCGGTTGTCGAGTAATTAGAAATCAGTTTTAATTCATATTTTTATGTTATTTATGTTATTCTTTGAGATTTTATTATCTTGTTTGGTCTTAAGGGTGATTCGGGAGGTCCACTGATCCAGGTCGTGAATGGAAAGGCCTATCACATGGGAATAGCATCTTATATCTCAGTAACACTTCCCCTATGGAACCGATGCTCTGAAGGCAATCCAATCTTTTATTACAAGACATCCATATATACCGATTGGATCGCAAAAGTTATCAAAGATTATGCCAAAGATATTAAGTCCAGTAATAATGATATTATCATTGATTGCGACGAAGATATAGCATAACAACAAGAAATATTTATTTAAAAGTCGTTTCGATATCAATTTTAATTAAATAATATTTGGATAATAATTTACTAAAATAAAATGATTTTATAGACTTGTATTTAAGGATTTCTAATAATTACCACTTTTAATGAGACATTCAATTGATTTTGAATGCATTTGTAAATCAAATATATTTTCTCCATAGAAGGTATTCACATAATTGATCTCATGAACTAATAATTTCATTTATTAAATTTCAATTTGTACCTGTCCCCGATTTGTCCGTTAATTGTTAAATGAAATATAGCACTACTCATTTCCCAAAGCAGTGAACAAAGCTTTTTAAGCCAATTATCTTTTTAATGGTTACCAAACAGATTGTTGTGCTAACAGTAATTATAATTGATCATGATAAACTGATCCTCTAAGTTTGTTATTTTTAAATAAAATTTGCTAATTATTTGTTTCGCGAGATTTAAAAATGTTTTTACAATATTACAGTAAAATTGGTTGATTTTGAAACATTAAATTTAATTCAATTTAGATTTAAATTTCGTGACCTTTGAAATAGATTTTGTGTATCAATTGATTCAATGTCTGAAAACAGTGTATTTGTAATTATCATCGTTATAATTGGTATAAAACTATTACAATACTCACAGTACTATGAAATTTAAAATAATCTATTCATTAGGACTGAGTTTTCTACAAATGATCGCCAGTTTTCAAAACGATAAAAACTGTGGAAAACTTAATTCGCATAAAACTCGGGTCCAGACGAGGGTTGTGGGCGGACAGGCGGCCGAACCCAATGAGTTGCCATTCATGGTATCACTTCAGGCCAACGATAGTTCAAAAAATCTCAAACACTTTTGCGGCGGATCTATACTCAACAACAGATGGATACTGACGGCCGCCCATTGTGTACATCCATTGATAAACCCTAAAGTGAAGAAACCGTCGGACGTATATCTAGTGATGGGAACCAATAATTCGGAAGTGTTTAACATTACTCATGATATGTATAAGGCCGAGATGTTGCTTGTATCAGGGTGCTTTTTGCTTGGATCTCCTTTTACTGATCTATTAGATGGCGATATTGCACTCATTAAGACAAACAAAGGCATTCCCATAAATAGCGACAATTTTGGCACAATTTGTTTGCCGCCTAATAATGCCGAGCCGGGCACTGATGACGTGATTATAGCCGGTTGGGGTGTATCTGATCCGGACGTTGAGAGTCCGACGAAGACATTGCAAAGAGTGGACACCAAAATAGTATCCGAAGATTTGTGCCAAACGTATGATTACTTCCGTAACGTTGGACTCAATGGAAGAGTTCCGGGAAAACGGTTTTGTGTTATGAATGAGGGCTCAACCGGTTGTCGAGTAAATCATTATTTCTTTATTAAACTTACTGTCCATCATTTGTAAGCTTTGTAATCATTGAATGTAAACTTTAATTATGAATTTAGGGTGATTCGGGTGGACCACTAATACAAGTAGTAAATGGAAAGGCCTACCAGTTGGGGGTCGCATCTTATTTATCGGTTACCCTTCCCCTTTGGAAGCGATGTTTAGAAGGCAATCCTGTATATTATTTCAAGACAACCGGATATATCAATTGGATTACAAATGTCATTAAGAAGTACGACAATAGCAGTACACCTGACAAACACATTATGGTGCCTTGCTAACCATGCTAACCATGCTAATATTAGTGATACCCTCAAATATTTACCATTTTAATAAATATAATAAAACTTATTTTATTCATTAAATTCGTAGTTATTTATATTTAAAAAGTAATATTCAACTAATTATTTTTTTTATCATTGAACTTATACTGTAATTAAATTAAACTATGTAGTAGGCAATCATAGATTTATATTAGTGCCAGGGTTAAATTTACGGAATTTTATGCTCAAATGTTTATAACTTATAATTTACGATTAATATAAAATAGACCGGAAGTATACCGTAAATGACTTGAAATTTGTAGTTTTAGTTTTAGTAACTGGTTTTAACTTTTAGTTTCAAATCAATTGAATTTATAAACTAAATCTAAATTTTAGATTTCGATGAATTGACTGGATAACTGTAATATAGATATTCTGAGATTCAATGGCAGCAAACAGTTTGATAGTGATTACCATCATTTTGATGGGTATCAAGTTATTGTGAGACTAATAGAAATATTAATTTTCAAATAATCTGTTTAGGAGTGAGTTTTCCGCCAATGATCGCCAGATTTCAAAACCATATAAACTGTGGAAAACATATTTCGCATAAAACACCGGTCCAGTCGAGGGTTTTGGGCGGACAGGATATGATAATGAGTTACCATTCATGGTATCACTTCAGGTGCAAGGCTTCGGCCACTTTTGTGGCGGATCTATACTCAACAACAGATGGATACTGACGGCCGCCCACTGTTTGCATCCAGAGTTGAATTCCTTAGTGGAGGAGGCGTCGGACGTACAGCTAGTGATGGGAACCATTGACTCTGACCGGCACGACATCCACAAACCTAATGCCACCTATAAAGGCGAGAAATTGCTACTTTCCAAGTGCTTTATGGTCGGTCTGTCGATGTGTTTGATGGCGATATCGCACTCATTAAGGCAAACAAAGACATTCCCATAGATAGCGATAATTTTGGCACAATTTGTTTGCCGCCCAAAGACGCCAAACCAGTTAATGATGCCGTGATTATGGCCGATTGGGATTATCCTGACCCGGATGTCGCTAAGATGGCAGTAATGTTGCGAAGAGTTGACACGAAAATAGTATCCGAAGACTTGTGTCAAATGTATGATTACTTCCGTAACGTTGGACTCCACGGAAAAGTTTCCGGAAAACGGTTTTGTGTTATGAATGACGGCTCAATCGGTTGTCGAGTAAAACATTACGTCTTTATAATTGGGGACAATTTGTTTTCAATTAATTTAATCATATGTTGAAATGTGAATCGCAGGGCGACTCGGGCAGTCCACTCATACAAGTAGTAAATGGAAAGGTATATCAGTTGGGGGTGGCATCTTATATATCGGTTACAACACCCCTATGGGACAGGTGCTCTAAAAGCAATCCTTTATCACTTTATTATCTTTTTCAAGACAATCGGATATATCGATTGGATTACAAATGCCATTAAGGAGTACGACAATAGCAGCACATCTGACAAACACATTTATATCCCATGTTAATGCAATGGATACATGTTTTCCATTTGAACAGCTATTTTAGAAATTATATTTAATCTGATAATTTAATACTTATATAACAAAAATTAATAGTTTGAATATAATAGTTATAATATATATAATATTAGGGGTATGCAAAAGTTTTGATAGGTAGAATATAATCAGTAAAAGTTCATTTATTTTTGAACCAGATAATTTAAATAAAAAAAAGTAATATGAGAAAC